ATTAAACTCTAAATTTGACACGAGTCAATCTACCACTCCCTGAATTTTATTCAACTACCCGTCCAAGTGACGAATGGAGATAGACGGCGGGTACGAGCCAACTGGACTGAATGAAAAAAAAAAAAGGCAAACAAAAAATCATCGTTATTTTTATGGATGCCATTTTTTTTATTTCATTTTATTATTATTATTTTTTTTATCAAATCCCGGCACTCATTCTCACTCCCTCGACGTGCGGGATATGAGGAGCGAAATAAAATCACTGGACCTAACGACCTGCATTTTAAAGTATCGAATATTCGTTTTGACGTGATATCTTGTTTCGATCTCGACATTTTTTCAAAGACGACAGCTCTGTCTCTTCGATTCTCCAGCCTCTGGCTAACGACCAATCGATCTCACTTCGATATAAAACACGTTTATTTGGAGTGAAGATGTTCCGATCGATTCGATAAGATTTTTCGAAACTCGATATCAATTTAAATTATCGAAATTCAGGGAAGACTTGATTAATCCTCGGTACCCGAAATTATAAAAAATGATTAAAAGAAAAATTAATCCCCACCATTGACCCATTTTCGACGAATATCTCAGGATCTAACGGAGATAGCAAAATTTTCATTACATCATTTTTTGTGGAGAATTTGAAATTCTACAACAAATGTAATAACGAAAATTGCGATATCTCCTTTAGATCGGGTGATATCGTTGAAAAACTCGACATCTCGATTTACCACTTGATTACGGAATTCCAATGCCAACAAATCGTCTCTCGTCTGGATAATTTAATTAATCGCTGGACAAATGAATTGAATAAAACTCGTAATCCACTCAAGATACTTGAAAGGGCCACGTGACACTCGACCCCTAGATTTAAAAAGAAAAAGCCCTGAAGACATGAAAAAAGTATTAGCGAGGGCGCTGTGAGGTCCCGATATGCTTGTCAATGGACTTCCCGTCTTGAGGATGAGCCTCTTGACACCGGATATCCCACTGCGGGCAATGGCACGTGCATCTTAGAATACCTCCGTTCAATCATCCACCTGGAAGCCCTTGGCTTACGTAATTCTGGTGGTTCCGATGGGTCTAGACTCCAACTAGGAATTCACGAGGGAAACCTATCGACCATCCGCTTTGCTAATGGCTTAATGGCGAATTCATGTTCTGGTCCCCGACGCCATGTATTTATGTACTCTTCTTTCCCAAACCGATAATCCAACTAATCTACACCTGATTTCCCCATCGACAGCCATTAATATTTATTGATTATCTTGACGTGTTTTTTTACTCATCCAAAAGTAAACAACGGTCTAAAGGATATTAAACAATTGTTTAATATCCCTTAAAACATTGCTTAATTGATAATTAAGCGACGAAATAATTAAAATAATGACTTCCACTTTGTCACAGAAATTAATTTAAAAAAATCGGCGATCGATCGGGAAAAAAAGGGTCTTGTGACTATAAAACGTCGATGTGTGCGGGAAAATAGAAAAGAGAACCAGTCCCATCAGGCCCAATAGTTATTTATCTTATCAAAGCGATGAGGCAAAAAAACGCGAATTTAAAAAAAAAGCCCTAAACCAGGGAGAGGGGAAAAAATGAATTCTCGATTGCTGAGTCGATTCAACACGAGAGTTTTTGAGGAGGAGATGAGGGAGATGAGGGAGATGAGGGAGATGAGGGAGATGAATCCACAGTGGATCCCATTTATCGAGAATGCCAAGGTCAGATCGACGATAAGGAGCTCCGCGAGTTTTCGGACTTTGAGTGCGTCAGACTATGCGTACATATAGTTTTGCCCCTTGGGGTCTTAATAAATCCATTCAAGACACGATCGAGTGGTGATTTTTAGGTATTGGGGTCGATGTACTCTCTGTGCAGGGAGAGACTGGCATTTATAGATGCAGTGACTGTCGATTTATCGCTGTTGAAATTATTTTATAACACCTTTCTATTTTTTTCAATTCAATCCCTCGTCCCCATACACGAGGATATTACAGATCAATTATTATTGGAAATAATTCATTTGAATTTCTAAAAAATTCATGAATTCTTGGAGAGTCAGAATTTTTTTTTACAGAATTCTTTTAAAATTTATAATTATCGAGAGTCAAATAGAAAAATACAGATGAAGATTAAAATTCTCAAAAATTCGGTTTAAAAAATAAATCTACCACCTAGATAATGCATCACCGATTAAAATACATCGGGTGGAGTGCCTGCAGGTGTGTGCAGGGAATATTATTTTCTTTTTTTAATCCTTTAAATTCCCATGTTCGTAATTATGATTACGTCAGGGAGAAAGAGGAGGCGAGCCGATTAGGATGTACCAGCGAGAGCTAGTTTGCCTCGTCAAAACGTGGAGAACAAATGGTGGGTCACTGAGGGTTGAACACTGGTCACGACTACCAGTGGGTGGGGATAGGGGGTGAAAAGGGGTGAGAGTATTTCCGAGATTACGCAAATGAGAAACGACCCCCTGTGACATCGAGGGAATCTCCGGGTTTTCGTGTCCATTCCGTCTCACTTTTTTGTGCAGAAAGTGCAAGTCTATTTTTCAGGGTGTGGGGGAGAGGTGGAGAAGAGGTGGAGAAGAGGTGGGGGGATGGAGGGGGAAGGCAAATAGGTTCTTGTCGATTTGGTCAGGACCGGAGAAGATGAAACCTGGGGAACAAAGCCTACTCCATTTCTCTGTTGGAATCAACTCGACTTTGACAAATCACCGAGAGATCGTGATATCTTTGAATTTCCTGTCCATCCCCATGAGCCCTCCCCTTCAGTCCGGTGATAGGAGATTTTTCCCGAGGCTCTCGTTGATAAGAATATATATTTTTGTTTTTTCCTCGTTTTTGGAATGGAATTAGGACAACCAGTGGAATTCTCATTAAAAAAATCGTTGGAAGATCTGATTTTAGTCGTGAATTCGGAATTCTCGTGAATATCCCGCATTGTTCTCGTCGAAAAGACGAGATTTTTCGCAAGTTTTCTGGGAGTTAACAGAGAAGTCACTGTTGCATTTCCCTTTTACCCCTTTCTCTCTGTGGTTTGATCTCAAGTATATACGGTGAATGTGCAATACAGAGGAGAGAGTCTCGTCGCCACGAGGATCTCGACGTTGAAGATAACGCGGGCGCCAGGGAGAGCATCTCTTTTCAGACTCACCAAGAGGCCAGCGGTCACCGACTCCATCAAGTCGCCTCAATTAAAGAGGGAAAAAAAATTTCTGGGGAAAAAAAATCCACTCCGATCTATTCCACTCATTTTTTTTATTTAAAAAATCGCGCGTTTTTCTGAAAAAACAAAACGAATTATATTCTAACAATATTATTGCGAGTACCTTATGTTGATCTAATCCTGCCTTTAATTAAATAATTTAATAGTTAATTAAATTCAATTGATTTTTTTTTATTGGAATTCTCTCGCTGGAAATTACCGAAAATGAAATAATTCGAAAATTTTTTTTTACGCTAAAAAAAATTCACGAAAATTTCTCGCCATTCACCGACAATTGCACTTATCCTAGTTTAAATTACCCAACAGCCTTCGGTAATTTCACCGTATTACCCCAAACATCGGTATTTTTCCATCGAAAATGCGCGGAAATAACTTTGAATTTTCAATTCCAAGAACAACAATGGTAAATTTTCAAATGGCGACAACAAAAAAATATTTCAGTGGAAATAAAAAAGCAGGCACTTAGCACGATGACTCCTCGAAGATATATATTTTTGTTTGTTATCCATAATAGTGAATGGTATGTACACATGTACATGGAGTTTGGGTTGCGCGTGGGCTCCCGAAGCTCGGCGAAGTGTTGGCCACGAATAGGTGGCCGACGTTCTCTCGCGGGTTTTCTGGTGATATCGCCGTTGCCGATCTGGAACGAGGCCGATAACACCCGTCCCGGACCCAAGAAAACCAAGGAGCCCTCTCTCTACACCGATAACACTTTCCACCCCCTCTTTTACCCCTCGTCCACCAACGATACAAACCCCTGGGGCTACCCTCACCCTCAAATTTTCTATTTATTTTTATTTCAACTCAGTCAAACTGAAATATCACTCGTTTTATTAGCAACAATTTTACACGTTCGGTCATTTCTCCGATGGATTGCGTAACGTTAAAAAATATGTTTCAATTCACGTGCGAATCGTTATATTTTCATTACGTCAAGTATTTATTTATATTTTTGGAGGAGATACCACTCGGAATTAATTCGTGTACAATCTATTTATTCTGAATATCTCTATTCTTATCCGTAGATAAAAAAAAACGTTGAGAATCCGAAAATTGCGAAAAAAATTCCGCTTTTTGTCACGCAGAAAAATGGAATTTTATAATTTCGATATTTTTCAGTCTGTTTAACTTTTCGGGGAGATAAACCAAAAAAATAATAATAATTTCCTCGTGTACAATCAACTAATTCCGAATCTGCGAGCGATTGAAAATTAAAACGGGCGTATATTCTTATCCCGCGATAACTCCCAAGATTTGAATGGGTAATTTGTAAAATTGAGGATTAATTTCGATTTTGTGCCGATGAAAATCGAGTATTCAAATGAAAAAAAAAATAAAAAAAACGACTCGTCTGAAATAGCAGTGCCGATAACAGTGAATAATCGTTCACATGAATATACGTATTATAATCATAATCGTTATCTGTCTCTTGGCCTTATCAGAGTACTGGCTATCGTCGGAGTTGCACGCGTGTGTCTCTGAGGCATATACACATCCAGTGGCTGCAATTCTCACATACATTTTTATTTTTTAAAAATATACGACAGTGTGGCTCTCCCTCAGGTACAAATAACCCACCAAGGTCAGAGTTACCAGGGCCATGGTTGTCAGCTCAAAAGTGGGGAATGAATGCCAGTTGGGTGGGGATAAAAAAAAAATGTTTACCGTGACAAAGTGCAAGGGAGATAGTGAGGCATAAGACTGTTAAAAGGAGAGTGATAACGTTTTCAGGTAGTTCTCGGTGTACGTAGTTTCTGTTTCACTGCAAGTCAGACAGTTTTCGGTGCTCGTGGGAGGCGAAAGGATCTCATTACAATCTACTCTTTAAAAAATTACATTCTTCACTTTAAAAACAAAATGGAATTCCATTTTTTTATAACTTCCACTCGTCATTGATGGATCCATTTATTTCCTGAGGATTTTTCACTCCAAAATTCCATTTCTCACATTTTTTAGATCAACAAAAAAAAAACTAATGATTATTTTTTTTTCGGAATTAAATTATACCTCAATGAAATATCAATTACATTTTTTTATAAAAAGCACAAGTTTTTGGTCTCTTCCTGGGGATTTGGGAAATATTTTTTTTTTTAGGGAGTAGATTTGAAGTGATGTGGATTGTCTGAATTTTTTGAGAATAGAGATGAGGAAGTCTTGGGGATTATCGAATTTAAAAAAGAGACAACTGTTTTGATGGAAGTGGGTATTATATAGGGGCGTCAGTCAAGCCCACACGTAACATCTCGGTGCGATTATTCATGCACATTGCGCCCTCGTGACAATAGACAAGAGAGTGGGCCACCCGTGGGCCAGTCGTGATCAAGATCCCAGTGAGTCCAGTGTGTATATTATATTATAATAATACCAAGTGTGTGAAAGGGCAAGACTCATCGGTGTACCCTACACTGTTAGAAAAAATTTCAATTTCAAATCGACTTATTAATTTTCAACAGACTGTCACTAAACGGGATTTTTGAGTTTTTTTAATATTTTAAAATTCGATACGATAATTCTGTGTGGAATTATCAAAATAATACAATTGAAAATATAAAGAACGTGAAATAAGAAAACGTAATAAATTATCATATTTGATTTATAATTTTGAACGGTCAGCCCCAAGTCCCATTCGTAGTGCCAATGTCAGATTTTTAAATTGAAGAATGAATTTACGAGAAGTTTTCTATTCCATTTTTCCACGGAATTTGGAATTTTTAATGTCAAAATTTCCGGAAATTTCAGTGGAATTATGACGCGATAAAAATTCACCCCGGAAAATAGGGATGAGATTTTTTAACAGTGTATTGGTCATCGAATCTAGAATGACGGAAATTCATCATTGGTGATTGTTATTTTAGAGGGTTTTAACAATGAGTGTTTTGCTGTGGAGACAGAGGCGTCTGATTCTCAAGAGTCTTACAAGTGAGTTATTCGTTTCAGATTTAATTCGCGAGTAATTAACAAAACCGGTGGTTAAAAAATATATTAATATTTATCGTGTTGGGCTTGTCGGATCTAATCTCGATGTAAATCACTATTTTTTTTTTCATTCAGATCTATAATTACAAATCTCCCGCTCAATCTAATCACTCGCGAGCATCTGATTGACGAGATTAAGCCGATCATTATCGGTAAGATTAAAATTACTGATGAGTCGCTCTCGGGGTTGCCACGTTTGTTTATCATATACAATCTATAACTGAATAATCCTCTGATGATTGCTCAGTGGCGAAGGGGAGATGGAGAATATTTTTATCGAAAAGTTTTTCCGTATCTCAGGTCAATCTCGGGTTCAGGAATAACCCAACTTATTTATCTTTGATCTGACTTTAATACAATATATCTCACGGTCGATTTTATTTAAGAAAAAAATCTCGTCAATTGATGTCTCATGAAAAAAATTTCTCATCATGTCGAATTGATTTGCTCGCAATATTTCGGAAATTTACGAATGAAAAATTAATTTTTTTATCTCAACTGAACTGCTCGATCAGATAAAAAAATAAATAAAATAAATCGGCAATCGCGTTCTCGATCTCCACAACTCGAGCATTTTTATTTCGTTCATTTATTTCTCTTTAAGTGAAGAATGAAATGAGGGAAGTGGGAGGGAGGGACATAAGGGTGGTGAACACCCAGAGGGCTTCCACGAAAAGTAACAACGAAATAAAAGATAAGGATGGGGGAGGGTTAACCAACAAGCAAATTAACACGTGGGAGGGTCCTGATCGGCCAGTGAGATTAAAGTGCAACGAGGGGCTTCCCCATCCTCCACCCCATCGCCAATACCCCCATCCTCTCGATCCCCACGTTAAAAAAATTAAATCGAACGATTAATCGATCGGGCGTATCGATTATCCCAAAAATCCCAACGGGTTATTCGTTGTCAAATACTCGTAAATTACTTTAAATCATTTCAAAAGTTTTTCCTCATTTCAAATTATTTCAAATTATTTCAAATTATTCCAAATTATTTAAAATTATCTCAGGACTGATCCAATGGAATTTCAAAATTTCCGATTTCTCCATCAATGAATAATCCCTCAAAAAATCCAATTCCATTATTGGTATCGACTATTTTTCACTCGTTACTTCCCACGTCCAACAATTACAAACTCCTCATTTACTTATCAATCCCGATAACACCCCCCGCCTCAATCCCGGGAAATTCCGTTTTCCGTCGTCGCAACGAGTTTCCAAGCCCCGATAAAAATAAACCTATTACTTATGGCAATCCAGATAAATAAAAATTAACAATACCAGTTGTATCAGTTGTCCGTACATTCTGTCAAGTTTCTGAATATAAAAATGCTCGGTGAGAGCGATAACCACAGAGATAGAACCGCAGCCAAACATTTGTCTGGTGGGAGGTAGAGTGGGATAAAGGGGGTTAAGTGGTGAGGGGGAGGAGGGGGAAGGAGAGGGGTGGAGGAGTAGGATGGGGGAAAGGGGGTTGAAGGAATAAAAAAAAATATACGATAAGATTCTCTATCTCCTGAGAACCTCCGAGCGTTTTATATGACACGAAAGTCAGAGTAAACCTATTCAATGGGCATTTTTTTATTTAACGTACACAAATGTGGAGCAGTATGAACATTCATGCATACGGGGCCTCGGGTTTTTTCTCGGAATGGAGATAGCTATTTTTAATGAAGCCCTATGTACCCTCAGCCATAGGTAACTGCGACTGGCCGAGGCCCTGATACCAACCCAGAATCACTATCTTCATCTGGGTGGACAGATTTTTTTTTTTATATCCCCAATTTCTCGGTTCTGTTGGACGTCACGTGGGAATGTGAATTATGAATATTCGAAATATTCGGGTGGGTTGATTAATTGCGGGGATTAATTGATTTCTGATTATTGGTTGCAATTTATTGAAGTATGATCAATGAAGATTTTATTTGGATCAATTTTTTGGGAATTTCAGAGACATTTTGTTTCTCGTATTAGACGAAATTATTCTAATGATGAAATAATACGTATTATTATTACAATACAATTTAATTAATCTTGAATAATATTATAGATATTGTATAAAATATTATTCAAGATTAATTAAATTGCAATTAGAATTTTTCACTGGTTTTTCGTAATTAAAAATTTAAATCACTCGAGATTGGAAAGAGGTATTTCGTGGAATTTTTGGAGTATGTGGCGGAAGTACTGATGATGACGTTCTGCGAGATGATTTTCTCAGTGGTGTTGTTTAAATTTTTTATCCACACGGTATGCCAATGCCTTCCGGCTCTAAATGAAGTATGCCGTGTACTCTCGAGTGCAGAGGGGATCGGATATCCTATCCTCGGATCTAGAACCAACAGCAATTAGCTCTGGGGTCAAGGTTCGAGTGAATCAGTGGGCGTTTCGGGTTTGATGACGAGACGAGTCAACAGATCCCGGGGAAAATCAGTCCAAACAAAAAATAAACCATCACATTTCTCCAGTATAAAAAATACCACAGTCCCCCTCGCCACCCGCCCCACCCCCTCCTCTCCTGAAGAAGAAGTAATTTACTCAATTGAAAGAAATTTTAATTAAAGATATTTTTAATAAATAAAAGATCGTTGAGGCGATTTTTAAGGGGATTAGTTTTCCAAATATTTTTCACCGTCAGTTTTCAGGCGAAATCTCGAAATTGAAGGGACATAGCGATTTTTTAATGGATACTTTTTTTGTGGAGAAAGATGAGAGCTACAAAAAAGGTATCTATAAAAATATCGGTATCGTCGTTGAATATCGAGATATGGGCTGAAAACTGGTCTCGAAAAAAAATGCAATTATCCAAGTGTACAACTTTGCAATAAAATTTCGCAAAAAAATGTTCAGTCGATTTTCCCGGGTGATCTCTATCGATATTTCCGATTTTCTAAATAACTAGTTGTTATAAAAATAGAAATAATAGAATACATGCAAAATAAAAATCGATTTCGCAATTTCCATCGACGATTGATCCAGAAAAATTGATGGTATTTGTCGAGGGGATAGTGGAATAAAGTGAAAATGTTGTCGATTAACACGTTGTTTGTATAGGCCAATGTATAATAACAGGTTGCATAGGTACCCATTTGTATCTCGAGGAGGGCATCTCGGGTTCGCTTATATACCGCTGTGGTTTCGTACACGTGGGGTTGAGATCAGGGTGAGCCCGACGATAGCGAGCGAGATGGAGGGTTATGTGGCCGAGGAAAGGAGAATCCTTATTTTATTTTATTTTTTTCACTTTGTTTCTCCACTCGATTCGCTTATGTGTGTGCGAAAGTTAAAAATTTCCGGCTATCTCCATTGGATCACCAGGGTCCCTCTTTCTCCCTCTTTCTCCCTCTTTCTCCCTTTTTCTCCCTTTTTCTCCCTTTTTCTCCCTCAGCACCTGGCATCGTGATCTACCTCAGGGTCCCCATCCCCTCCCCTCTCTCACCCTGCAATAATGAAAACAATATTGCAACAATTATTTCAATTTGTTCAATTTGTTTTAAAAAAATATTTCAAGTCGTACTCTTCTCGTGGAAATTCGTGATTTTCAGTTCAAAAATTTTGCAGAGAATTATTCAATATTCTTTTAAATAATTCATCAGCTGATAAATTTTTTCATTTTTTTAGGAACTCTAGACGAAAATTAAATTGAATTTTCTCCGATTTATATCAACAATAATTAATTCCTAAACATTATTGCATCTCCATTCAAACCCGTGGACTAAAATTGTCAACTAATTTATTATCAATATCCGAAATTAATCAATTAATTCCCAACGATTAATAATCTCCAAAAAAAATCATGAGACCAAATCCCAATCCATTAGACTCCAAAATTCTGTAACGCCGATTAATTAAAAAAAAAAATTTGATTAAAAAAATAATTGAAACATTAATCCGTCAAATTAACGGGGAAATAAGAATCTCGAAGAGGCGGATGAGGACAGCAGCCTCAACACATACCTGTTGTGTATACACAGACGCGGTTAGGTGGGGACAGGATGATCCTGGCTGTCGATATCGTAAAAATCGCGGGGTGGGCGGAGGGGGTGAGGTGGAGTAAAGGGAGAATAAAAAAAATGGGGGGGAAAAAAAATGGAGAGGAGGGCCTCGTTGCCTCTCTTCTCTACTCTTCTCATAACTTACACGTTGTGTACTGATCGTCCTGGCAGTCTGTGGCCGCGAAACGACGCGAGGAGTCGCCTCATCCCGTTATCGATGATCGTCATCACTTATTCCACCGCAACTCGAGTGCGGGGGGTTTTAAAACCTCAACCCGCCACAAGATATTCCCGATTCACCTCAAAGCCTCAACCTCTTATTTTTTTAAATCTCCATCTTCCCCGAGACATCATTCAATTTTTTATTCAATCTCAGAACAACAAATCGTCATTTTCCCCGAATTTAATTTTCATCTGAATTAATCCGTCGGCTTGATTGCCCCCAGACTTCATGATTCGGTGTATCATGACTGATTGGTGAAATCCAATCAATTGCTTTAAATAAACTTCCAAAGTTCGAAGATCAATTAAATTCCGGTGATAATCTCAATGAGATGATTTCAGAAATATTTTTTCCAATGACCAAGGGCCATTCACCCATCGTTGAAATCATCGATTCCATTTGCATTTTCTCATGATTTCCCTAATTTCCAGATCATTTAATCCGATTTCGTATGATTTCGTGGAATGAATTTTCATTCCTTTTTTAAAAATTATTTAATCCACACGTGCAACCGCGATTTCACCAGTGAATAGCCCCTCGGGAAAAAGTTTCATTGAATTCTTTAATTTCAAACGTATTGACAACTGTTCGTTTATTTTATTTTTTTTTCACCCTCGGTGGAATAGTACTGTTATATTCACCGAGAATTTCATCGAGGGGGTGGCGGTGACTGGCGGTGGCGACCGCGTGCACTTCGCGATAAGCCACCCCCTGGTGCCACTGAG